ATACATACAAAAGCATCAAGTTGGGCATTAGAATACATGTTGCTTCACGCAGGCTCATTTCCTTTTACAAAGCATGTCCTGACTCTGGTTTTACTGTTGAAATTGATAACACTTCTGAAAATTCAGACTTTAGATCACTTTCTGATTTCACTTCATTGTACAAGTACTCTCATCTCCTCTCTGCATTTGTTCTGTTGAAGTATTTGCAAACGACTGTAACCCATAGCAAATGTTCAAATACTAAAAAAAGCCAATAAATGTTGAGTAGCATTCAAATAATGGAACATTGGGATTTCCTGGCAGTACAGGAAATCCCAATGTTACATTATTTCAAGAATCCCACCTTGAAATTGCCAACTTAAGTTCTCACTTTGCCTCCAAAACGTATTTGTTGGATTAGCACTCCTTAGATTTCTATAAAATGTGCATATAAACTCATTACTATTTACTTTGTTTGCAAGGAAACTTGCTGTCATCAGTAGTCAGGGTCACAAACACATCTCACACGGCAGTGAAGGTAAATCAACATTGATGAGCTCATGCCAATCAAAACATTACAGCCAATTTTTATAGCTTCCATGAGTCCATCGTCTTTTTATCAACCCAGTGACAGTCTGAGCCGGACACAGATGGGTATTAGGAACTAGAGGAGATGAGATTGGATAATTGGCCTGGATGAGGACTCTCAGAAAGGAGGGAGGGCTCCAGGGCCAAAGGGGCCTGCTTTTGTGCTTGAGAAATGATGAGGAAAGCGAAAGGGGTGGCTGCACCAGTGACGACACCAGCCTGCCCTAGAAACATTAGTGATATTTCATCGACATTTGCTTGGGTAACTTTCTGTTGTCACCGGGAAACCAGTGGGACTTTCTCCTTCAAGATGAACCCAGCCCTTGCTCTTATCACTTTCGCTTGTTCCCTGGAGGCCATGGCTGTGCGCAGAAAGTGCGCTGCTTCTGGATGAGGGGACCATGTTGACGCCATGGGAGGGAATCCTAGTACACACAGCTCAGGGGCTCACAGGGTCTCGTGTTGGTTGGTTGGTGTGACTCAATTTCACTCTTGGATCTTTCTCCTCCTCGCTCCTTATTTTCTTCCTTGAACAGTGGAAGTCTGAAGATGTTGAAGCTGAGATATTGGGCGAAGTCCCTTCCTTACCTGGTTACCCTGACTTCAAACTCACAGTTCAAGGCTGAGCTATAAATACTCCTCTGATCACTGGAGTTGCCAAATCCCTTTTTGTCTGGGCTACTGGTTTTGTGGAAACTGCTCCTCCACCTTCATGCTCATCCAAAATTAGTGATTAAATAACCTAATGCACATCCATATATTGGATTACTAGGTAGCCTGTGCAGAGAAGGATGCAGATCTATGTATGCACTGATGGGGTAGATTCTATGATATATCATTATTAGGGTAAAAGGGTGGAGCTTGGGGTCTAGCTCAGTAGTAAAGCATATGCTTAGCATGCCTGAGGGCCCGGGCTCAATCCTCAGCAATCTCAGAAAAAGGAAGTCACTGTGTGTATGTGTGCGTGCATATACACCTATGTGTTTCTAACTGCATAGAAATAGCTCTAGAAAGACAGGCAAAACTCTTTTCTTTTTTTTTTTTTGTACTGGAGATTGAACCCAGGGGTGCTTAACCACTGAGCCACATCCCCAGTCTGTTTTTTTGTTTTGTTTTTTTAATATTTTATTTAGAGACAGGGTCTGGCTGAGTTGCTTAAGGCCTTACTATATTGCTGAGGCTGATCTTGAACTCAGGATCCTTCTGCCTCAGCCTCCCAAACTGCTGGGATTAGAGCCACAGACTACCGCACCCAGCCCAGGGTAAACTCTTGACTTTAATTAGAATACATATATGACTAGAATGAAATAGTAATTTCATCTTTTACTTTGATTCCAAATTATTTTACTTTGCATATATTACTTTTGAAATTCAAAACCAAATATTGAAAACCCCCAAACTTCACTCTGGATGGGTGGTAGCCCTGAAGAAAATTCCCTAAATGTGACTTTCTTCTGTTCTTGACTGAAGGAGTTGACCTGGGTCACCTGCACTGTGCAGGTAGAGGAATAAGTGCTGAGGAGTTAGACTTGAAGAGAGCATCTTTGTCTTTTAGGGACTGCAAATTTTAGAGGGGAAAAGAGGCCCAGAAAAAGAAATACAGTGTGGTGTGATAAATGCCTCAGAGCTACAACTGGGGGCTAGGAGAATGAAAATATTAACATGGCCATCCTTCTAGGGACAATGGGGGAGCAGGCCCAGAGGAGAAGCCTTTATTTTCCCTATTAGTTTATTATTTTTTTTAATTCAGAGAAAAGTGGAAATTTGCAGATCTACCACCTAGATTCAACAATTGTTAACATTTTGCCATGGTAAACTATTAGGTAATGCCAATAAACAAACGCTATCTCATTCAAAAGTTCATCCCTAAATTTTTAAACATAATTTATTTTTGGAGGGGTACCGGGGAATCAAACCCAGCTTTTTTTTAATTTTTTGAGGCAGGGTCTTACTTTTTGCTTAGGGCCTCCATAAGTTGCTGAGGCTGGCCTTGAATTTGTAATCCTCTGGCGTCTGCCTCCCAAATAGCTGGGGTTATAGGTGTGCGCCATTGTACCAGGCCTAAGCTTATTAACTTCTAATAATGACATTCTCTTACACTGTGGACATTCTCCACAATGCTATTATCAAACATAAAAATTAATGTTAATCCCTTTTAATCATCTAACAGATAGTCCATTTAAAAATCATCCCAATTTCCTTCTATACCTGCGGGCAATGAACTGACATCATTACAGGGTTTGACAGAAACCTCTCCCACAATAGCGTGGAAACCCAACCAGCACATTTATGAGCCACAAGAAGATCCCTCAGTGTTTTTCACAGGTTGTTTTTCTCACAGTCCAGGATCCATTATTGTGCTTTGTAAAAGTGAATTTGGTTAAGTGGAACTATGTTTCCCAGAACCCCCTCCCCTGAATGATTTCAGGTTAGACTTCGCCAAAAGAGGAATTTGCATATAATCTGGAAGGCAGAAATGCAGCAGCAAGTATTATTCCCTGAAGGTCATTGTGGTTAGATGAGATGACAGAAGCATTGATGAGCATCTCCTAGCTGTGCTCCCTGATTAGTGTCCAGAAACTTTCAAGTTGTTGACCCAGTTGTCCACAAGTGGCCCCAGACCTACCACCAGATACTTGGTAATGGACCCATGGAGGTGGCGGCCACACAGACCCTCCAGAGCTTTCCCATCGTAGTGCCCTGTTAGTGGCTAGAAGTGTTTGACTTCCCACATTGGTGGTTCCTTTTCTGATGCTCAGACTGCTCTCCTGCCCTTCACTTCCCCAGTTCCTACCACAATTATGTAAGGTATTATCCTATAATAAATTCCTTATCTCATCGTTCAGAGTGGTTCTGCTTCCCTGATGGAGACATTTACTGGTACTGGCTGTGGTTTCAGGGCAAACTCTTAAGGATGAGACTCCAGATCTTGTTCTCTGAATCTGATTAAATTTAACCGCATAAGTGCTTATCTCTGTGGTAAACGATTACTTAAATTCTCACCTGTAGTCCCCTGTGATAAATGTTTATGGAAGGAAAGATTTTGGGTAACCAAACATTGGCTGCCATAGAAATATTTTGGTAGAAATAGGAATATAATGAGAAATGTCAGTTGCTTCTACGTATGGGGAAAGTTTGGAGAAAGAAAATGATGAGCTCAGAGATTTAAATTCCCATCCTCCAACTGGGAAAGGGATCAAAAAATTAAATTATTGCCCTAAAAGAAATTCTTACCTTTTATACTTCAGGGTCAAGATTTCTGATAACCCAAACCTTAAAGGAACTGAATTTTCGTGCAAATAAAACTTACAACCTAATAGGGTCTTTTGTGATAATATAATAATAATAATAATAATGACAACAACAACAACAACACAGCAATTGGGTAAGAGACCCAAAATCTTAGGATGGGAACATTGGAATAAATACCAATGAAGCTGAAGATCTTTAACCCTGAGTATTGCTGATCCTACTTCACCAAAAAATTAATTAATTAATTAATTTGAAAAATAAAAGTGACCCTTTTTCTCTATCTGTGGTTAGTCTTCCTTACTGCAGAACCTGTAAAGATCTTCCTAGAGGTAGTGCCTTATGGGGAACAGCTGGTCTTCCTGGAACCTAGCATTACCTTGGACCCCAGCGTGACCCATGAGAAGGCAACACCAAAAACATTGAGAGTTGGTCAATGTATGCATTATTTCCCTTTTTATTTTGTCATAATTTTATACTAGCTGAAAAGTATAATGCAAATGATTCTCTTTACCTTACATCAAGATCCCTGAAATACCTGTTTACACTGACGAAAATCCAGGGAAGCCTGGGTGCAATGTTGTACCCCTATAATCCCAGCAACTCAGAAGGCTAAGGCAGGAGGATGCAAATTTGAAGCCAGCCTCAGCAACTTAGTGAGGCTCTAAGCAACTTAGCCAGACCCTGCCTCAAAATATACAATAAAAAGGGGAGTGGGAATGTGGCTCAGTGATTAAGTACCTCTGGGTTCAATTCCTGATACCAAAAATAAAACAAAATAAAATAAATAACAATAAAAATAAAATTAAATAAATAGATAAATAAACAAATAAATCCAGGGAGTCCATATGAGAATGGATGAAAGAATATAATTTGGCCTTGGCTGAATTCATTAATATGGGTGCTATATTAGAAATACAGCCCTGTTATGACTTTTTGACATGTTAAAAAACTTTTCTGGCTGTGGGGAGACTGCCCCGTCCTGGGCTAGGCAATTCTTAGAGATAGCAAGGTGCCCAGCTTGGAGTGGATCTTTGATATGCATGCAAACCAGCCCAGAGTCAACTCTATCTGGCCCCTACACTCCAAAATGCCACTGCCTTATCCCAGGCCAGGTGCCAGCCAACTAGGGGCCACCCTGTCACCCAAAGCCACCAAAATGATTCAAACTAGCAAGTTCCAAACTGTCTATCCCCCTTGCCTTTCCTGTGTATTCTCCTATAAAGACCCATTCTTCTCCCTCCCACCTGTTTACTGTCACCCTGTCATCCTGCCATCTTTCCCATGTGATCCTGCCGCCTCCTGCCTCTGGGACCTGTGAGTATAATAAGCTTTGTTTTCCTGAGCTTCTCTTCTGTTTCTTCTTATGGCTACACCTGACTGACCATCTCATCAAAGAATGCAAAATAGGTGCACTAAGCAGAGAGCCTGGGTTTCACGTATGTGCACAAGTGAAGAGAGAAGGGCTTTAGAAATCGGCTATGAAACCCAAAGATGTCTTGCACTAAAAGAAGCTGAGATGTCAAAACTCCAGTTATGGTTCAGATATGAGGTGTCCCCCAAAAACTCCTATGTTAGTGCAAGAATATTCAGAGATGAAATGGTTCAATTATGAGAGCTGTAACCAAATCAGTCCATCCTAGTTTGAATGGACTAACTGGTGATAACTGTAGGCAGGTGGGCCATGGCTGGAAGAAGTGGGTCACTGGGGGCATGCTCTTCTTTCTTTGTCTCTCTCTCGCTCTCTCTGAGATTCCTGACACTCACCATGAGTTGAGCAGCTTTCCTCCTCTGGGTCTATCCCCCATGATATGCGTGCTACCTCACCTTGGCCCCAGAGCAATGGAGTCAGTCATCTATGGACTGAGACCTCTGAAACCATAAGCCCCAAATAAACTTTCCCTCCTCTAAGTTTCTCTTGTCAAGTATTTTGGTCACAGAGATATAGAAGCTGACTAAAACAACTCCCAATACTGAAAAGGAAGGTATGCAGAGCACTAGAGTAGATTTGTAATGTGAAACCAGCTAACCATATTCTTTGGTAGGGTCCAAAGAATACTCCCTTCACCAAGGTTTGAGAAATGCTTTGATGAGAAGAATTCCAGTGCTCCTAAATAGTCACTCTGTGGTGACTATTCTTGAAAGGCAAGTCAAGGAACAGGAAGTGCAGTAATCGAAATGGGCTTCCTGAATTAATGCAAAGGGAACAACAGGATATTGGTGTGTCAGGAGCCTAGTGGAGGCACTAAGTAACCAAGACAGTGGTAGTGTAGTTAATGGGCCACAGAGCCAAAGCAGGCATCAGAGTGGTTTGGACTTCAGAATATGGTTTTGTCTCACTGATCATGGTGCCCCTAGGATGGAAACAGCCTACGTGATTTGTACAAGTGATAGGTGTCTGGCAATGGTAAACAGAAGTCTGACTCTGACAGTAGTCAGGGCCCTTTAACTAATTCTCACATTGTAGATGGGTCTTAAGCCCCAAGCCTATTGGGTAAAGGGAAGACTAGGCTCATCTGAGGAAGGACTTGCTAGACCACCAAAAAGTTAGACTTTAAATATTCCTCTTAGCCTTTCCCCAAAATCTGTGGTTATTGCACAGGCTGAATATGCATTGGGAAAGGGAAATGACCAGGTTCTAGGAATTACTGAAACTTGGCTCTGAACTGATACTAATCTCTAGAGATTCCAAATGCTACTGGGTGTCATTGTCAAAGTAGAAATTGATGGAAGTGAGATGGTGTATGGAATTTTGGGTTGACTCCATCTCACAGCAAGCCTAATGGTTCCCAGAATCCTTTCTGTCATTATCTCCTCAGTTACAGAATGCATAAGTGGATATACACTACCGCTTAATATACTCAGCAGCTGCTATGGTGTGAATACAGTTTGTCACCTAGAACTCAGGTTGAAACTGAATTCCTACCATGAATTAAGATGCAAAACCTTAGTCCAACTAGGGTATTCAGAGAGGTTTCCTTGGGAGGTAATTAGCATTAGCTAAAGTCTTTAGGATGAAGCTATCATGAGTAAATCCTGGCGACTTTATAAGGAGAGAGAGACCAGATCTCTTGCCACGTGATGCTCTGTACCATCCTGTGACTCTGCCAGCAAGGGAGCCATCATTACTTCCAGAGACAGTGTCTAGAGACGCTCAGAACCATTCAGTGTTTCATAGACATCAGAGGTTTTCCTACAGCACAGCCTCTAAAGACACTCAGCTGTCTCAAACTCCTGGTAGTAGAATCATTTACATTTACACCAAGAAGGCTGGGAAAGTACCCAGATCTGCGTGTTGTGCACACCCAGGCAGACTTCAAGGGGTTCATGCTGTGAGACCTGAAGTGCTGATGAGATTACCTAAGACTTAAAACCTGTCAGCAGGGCCTAGGATGGCTCCACAGGTCCTCAGTGTGTTTGTGACAGAACCAAGTGTACTCTCCTTATGGAGGAGCAGAAAATCATTGTGAAAGTTTAAAGGCAGAAGTACAGAGTCAGAAAGCTAAATTAAAGAATGAAGCTTCTTTGAGTAATAAAAGATCAAAAGGCTTGTTCTGGCTGTGTGTGGTATGCACACCTGTCATCCCAATAACATAGGAGGCTGAGGCAGGAGGATCAAAAGTTTGAGGCCAGTCTGGGCTATTTAGACCCTATCTCAAATTAAAATAAGAAGGGCTCTACGTACTATAGGGATACTGCTACATCGATGTTCATAGCAGCACAATTCACAATAGCTAGACTGTGGAACCAACTTAGATGCCCTTCAATAGATGAATGGATTAAAAAATGTGGCATTTATACACAATGGAGTATTACTCAGCACTAAAAAATGACAAAATCATGGAATTTGCAGGGAAATGGATGGCATTAGAGCAGATTATGCTAAGTGAAGCTAGCCAATCCCTAAAAAACAAATGCCAAATGTCTTCTTTGATATAAGGAGAGCAACTAAAAACAGAGCAGGGAGGAAGAGCATGAGAAAAAGATTAACATTAAACAGGGACGAGAGGTGGGAGGGAAAGGGAGAGAGAAGGGAAATTGCATGGAAATGGAAGGAGACCCTCATTGTTATACAAAATTACATACAAGAGGATGTGAGGGGAAAGGGAAAAAAATCAAGGGAGAGAAATGAATTACAGTAGATGGGGTAGAGAGAGAAGATGGGAGGGGAGGGGAGGGGGGATAGTAGAGGATAGGAAAGATAGCAGAATACAATAGTCACTAGTATGGCAATATGTAAAAACGTGGATGTGTAACCGATGTGATTCTGTGATCTGTATACAGGGTAAAAATGGGAGTTCATAACCCACTTGAATCAAATGTATGAAATATGATATATCAAGAGCTTTGTAATGTTTTGAACAACCAATTAAAAAAAAAGAGGAATGAAGGAAAAAAAAAAGAAGAAGGGCTCTAGCTGTGACTCAGTGATAGAGGACCTGAGTTCAATCCTGAGTATTAAAAAAAAAAAAAAAAAAGGAAAGCTTATTCTGAGTCTTCTTAACCTTGTATCTGCAGAACCTTAAGTCAAAATAAACCTCTTTTCTTTATAAAGTAGCCAGCCTCAGATGCTTAATTGTAGTAACAAAAACCAGACTAGTATAGTAGGTATCCAAGCAGATACACTTAGCAACTTGTAGACTCCCCACATGGGTTCTCTGTTCCCTGGAATGAAGGCCAAGTGAAAGTCACTAGAACTGTGTCTGCATACTAAAATGCAAACAACAAAAGTATCTTGTTTCTTGAAGGATCCAAGATTAGTGCCATCAACAAGGTTCTAACAGATACAGAGGGGGTGACTCCCATCACATCCCTACTCAAATCACTTGTTGCTGTCAGCGGACTGGTGGACCTCAGGGAATGACAACAAACTATCCAAACTTTGATGATGCCAATTTAAGCTGCTCGTCCAGGAATGATTTCTTCGCTACAACAAATCAATTCCTCCATGGCTTCGGTTTGCTGATGATCTGCACAAGCTTTTTACTCTGAACTGTTCATGCCATTATCTTCTAGTTGCCACACTGCACCACCCCACCCCTGTGCACGTCAGGCCGCTAACAACTTGGCAGCCTCTCATAATCTATCTGCAAGGACCTTCACACACTATTACTTCACGTGGATACAGGAAGGTGCTGCTGGCTGGCAGGGTGCCTCAGTTCCTTACCTCAGGTGACTCCCCACAGGGGACCTATTGTCCTCATTGTCATGACTGGCTTTCCCTAGAGCCATCTAAGACAGAGTGAGGTAGAAGCTGCAATGGCTTTTAAGACACAGTTTCAAAGTCACATGATGTCCTGTTGTGTTCACACAGGTGAGCACTACTGAATGTGGGCGGGGACTACCTGAGGCCAGAATACCAGCAGGTAAGGATCACTCGGCCATCTTGAAAGCTGGCTACCATGGTATGAAATTCCTGAAGGTTTTTTGTTCGGTCCCTTCCAACTTTTCTAAGTTTAGAGTTGTCCCAAAAGAAGGATTTTTAAATGTTATACACATGCAAATACTATTATTAACATTATCCATTGAGTGGACCAAATCCTAGACCAGAAGACGGACCTTGGCTTCTATTTTTGCATCTGATGCTGACTCAGAACGTGTCCTTGAGCAATCCTTTCTCTTAACATCTCTGGACCTTAACTTCCTTTTCCGTGAAACAGAGAACAAATTCCTGCCCCTTCCTTCCTCCCCCAGAGGTTTGTGGAAGTGTTTTTACCTATTTAAAACTCCAATGTGGACCTTAGAGGTCCATCCCATAAAGCCTTTCATTTTACAAATGCAGGAACTGGTTCCTAGAGAAGGCAAGAGTTTGTCTAGAATCACACAGCCAGTTAGTAGCGCAGCCAAGATTGGAACCTCAGTCTTACATCTCCAGCGTCTGCCCAACCACCCTGCTTCTGTCTTAGAATGAGAGTGTCCACTTCTGAAAAGAATTTTTACAGTATTTATGACAATCAGAGAGTAAGGACTAGCTGCCAGCTTGCAGGAGAAGACTTAGTGTCCTGGTTCTTATACTGTGTGGTCTCAGGATCCCCCTTACACTCCTAAAAATTATTGAGGTTCCATAAAGGGGATGGGGGGGCATGGGAGGAATGGAGGATCTGTAGAGAGGGCAAAGGGGAGGGAGGGGAAGCGAGGGGCTCCGAGTAGGAAAGGCAGTGGAATGAGACGGACATCATTTTCCTAAGTACATGTATGAAGACACGAATGGTGAATAACCAGAGACCTGAAAAATTGTGCTGTGTATGTGTACTCTGAATTGAAATGCATTCTGCTGTCATGTGTAACAAATTAAAATAAATAAATAAATTTTTAAAAAAATTCTTGAGGTCTCTGAAGGACTTTCGTTTATAGAGGTTATATCAATTAATATTTATTGCATTAGAAGTTAAAATTATGTGAAAATGTCAAATGTTTTATTATTTACTTTTAAAAAACAGTAATACACTCATAGTATACTAATATTGTTTTTTAACAAAATATGGATATTTTGCTATGGTCTGATCATGTTGGTGTTCCATCCAAAATTCATGTGTTGAAACTTAACCCCATCAAGATGTGTGACCCAGCCAGGTGTGGTGGTGCACACCTGTAATCCCAGCAGTTTGGGAGGCTGAGGCTAATAAAATACAGAGGTGGTGTATAACAGGTTCAAAAAATAACAGGTTCAAAGCCAGTTTCAGCAAATTAGCAAGGCTGTAAGCAACCTAGTGAGACCCTGTCTCTAAATAAAAAAATTAAAAGAGCTGGGGATGTGGCTCAGTGATTAGGCACCGCTGGGTTCAATCTCTGATACCAAAAAAAAAAAAAAAAAGAGGAATGGCCCAGACTAGGGGTGTAGCTCAGTGGTGGAGTGTTTGCCCAGCAGGCCAAAGGCCCTCAGTTTCCTTGCCAGCACAGAGACAAGAAAGAAAGATTAAAAAGTGTGGCCTTTGCAAGGGAGAAAATCACATAGGCTCCAACCTTATGAATTAATATCCTTCATATATATATGAAGCTGGGGGAGCTTGTTCTTCCCTCCTACCACATGAGGACCCATAGAAGGTGCCCTTGATGATAAACAGGCGGAATTGCTTGTCCTGTCTCACCAGACACTGAATCTGCTGACACCTTCGTCTTGAATTTCCCAGCCTCAGAACTGTGAGAAATATATTTCTGCCTATAAATTGTTTAGTCAGAGGGATTCTGCTGAATGGACTAAGATAACTTTTTAAGAAGAGTAACTCTACTTCCCAAAAGGAAAAAAAATGAGAAAGGGTGGTTTTGCTTTACATTTTTGCAAAATGTCTTTAATCTCTGTCTTCCTAGAAGACAACTGGGTTCTCGTAATTGTTTCTACAGATAGTCTGTTACATCATTTGACCTCTGGTAAACCCAGGTCTGTTCATGACAGAATAAGAGTGAAAAGTTCATTTTAATATTATTAGGAAAATAATTCTGATCTCACAGACCCTCTGAAAGGGCCTCAGGGATCTTTAAGAATCCTGAACCCCATTTTGGGGACCTCTGTTGTAGAATCATGCCATAGGACAAAACATTACCTAGCAGGACAAAATAATCAGCACTGATCAGTGTTGCAGATGATACAAAGATGGGAAGGGGAGTATCACAAAAGGTGATAGAATTCAAAATTTTAGCCAGTCACAATGGTATATGCCTGTATTCCCAGCTACTGTCTCAATCTCAGGTGACTGAGACGGGAGGATGGAAAGTTTAAGGCCAATAAAGTTGGCCCTAATCTGCATTACGTGGGAGCGGGCCCCAAATTCCTTAATAAGACGCCTATAGCACAAGAGTTAAAACCAAGAATCAACAAATGGGACGAATTCAAACTAAAAGTTTTTTCTCAGCAAGAGAAATAATATGTGAGGTGAATAGGGAGCCTACATCCTGGAAACAAATTTTTACCCCTCAAACATCAAATAGAGCTCTAATCTCTATGATATACAAAGAACTCTAAAAGCTAAACAACAAAAAACAAATAACCCAATCAACAAATGGGCCAAGGACCTGAACAGACACTTCTCAGAAGAGGATATCAATCAACAAATACATGAAAAAATGCTCATCATCTCTAGCAATCAGAGAAATGCAAATTAAAACTACTCTAAGATACCATCTCACTCCAGTGAGAATGGTAGCCATTATGAAGTCAAACAACAACAAGTGCTGGCAAGGATTGGGGGGGGGGGATAGGCACACTCATACATTGCTGGTGGGACTGCAAATTGGTGCAGCCAATTTGGAAAGCAGTATGGAGATTCCTTGGAAAACTGAGAATGGAACCACCATTTGACCCAGCTATTCCCCTTCTCGGACTATACCCAAAAGACCTAAAAAGAGCATACTACAGGGACACAGCCAGATCAATGTTTATAGCAGCACAATTCACAATAGCTAGACTGTGGAACCAAACTAGATGCCCTTCAATAGATGAATGGATTAAAAAACTGTGGCATTTATACACACTGGAATATTACTCAGCACTAAAAAAATAACAAGATCATGGCATTTGCAGGGAAATGGATGGCATTAGAGAAGATTATGCTAAGTGAAGCTAGCCAATCCCTAAAAAACAAATGCCAAATGTCTTCTCTGATATAAGAGGGGGGGGATGACTCAAAATGGGATAGGGAGGAAGAGCATGAGAAAAAGATTACACTAAATAGGGAAGAGAGGTGGGAGGGAAGGGGAGGGAGAAGGGGAATTGCATGGAAGATGGAAGGAGACCCTCATCGTTATACAGAATACATGTATGATGTTGTAAGGAGAAAAAGAAAAAAAAAGGTGTGTCACATTGGATTGGATAGAGAGAAATGATGGGAGGGGAGGGGAGGGGAAGGGGGGATAGGAAGGGCAGCAGAATAGAATAGACATTATGATTGTTGTGTGTATATAGGTGACTCTATGACCAGTGTGATTCTGCAATCTGTACAATCAGAAAAATGAGAAATTATACCCCAATTGATTCAAATGTATGAATTGCCAAGATCATTGTACTGTCATGTGTAGCTATTAAAAAAATGAAAATGAAAAAAAAAAGAAAAGAAAGTTTAAGGCCAGGGTGTACAATTTAGTGAGACCCTACTCAAAATTTTTTTTAAAAAAGTTAAAAGGACTGGAGATGGAACTCAGTGATTAAAAAAAAAAAAAACACCTGAGATCGGTTGCCAGTATTTGGTTTTAGCAAATCAGAAACAAAATTACATTTTAAGTGGAATGCCTTATATTTACATACTGTTTTATTTTTAATCATTTGTACGTGCATTGGAAGCAAAGGCTGGGAAGAACTGGCCTGATAGCCGTTTGTATGAAAAAGATCTGGTGGTGTAGGTGAACCACAAGCTAAACAGGAACCAAGAGCTTGAAACATAATGTTAAGAAGCATCAACAGATGTGGAACCACTGAGCCGGGGCTGATAGGCAGGGTTCCTTGGAGACAGGGTATGGAGAGAAGGGGAATGGATAGAAGGTGCACATTTGCACTTGGCTAACAAGGTGACTTGGAAACGTTTAAATAAGTGAAAGCTAAATCCACAAACAAATTTTTCTCAAGTCCTTCAGACTTTCATAACCAAAAGGACAAGGACAACCCCCTGCTGGGTTCACTGGTTTCCACCAGGGTCTAACCCCAGCCATCTGCAGGGGATGGATGAGGGCAGCCTCGTCTGGGTGCTGATTTCCTCCAGCTTTCTGAATATTACTCACCCCAGCCATTTGCTCTGGCCAGAGGTATCCGACCAGGGGCCAGCACCACCTAACCTTCTTCAATATCATCCTATAGAATCTGGCTGGTCACTGGGGACTCTTTCCCTGGTCTGGCCTAGAGGAGAAAGGGTCTTGGCTACTCTGGTATTGCTATTGCCACAGTAGCATCTTTTTGTTTGTTTGTTTGTTTGTTTTGGGGTACCAGGGATTGAACTCAGGGGCACTTAATCACTGAGCCATATCCCTAGCGCTATTTTGTATTTTATCAGAGACAGGGTCTCACTGAGTTGCTTAGCGCCTTGCTAAACTGCTGACGCTGACTTTGAACTTCTGCCTCAATTTTCCAAGTAGCTAGGATTATAGGCGTGCGCCACCGTGCTCAGCCAAGGTAGCATCTTTGTGCCCTGGTTGTGAAGTTGTTCCATCCCTCACCTACTGGGTCAAGAAACAGGTTCCTCTCAAGGTCAGAAAAGTTGGCTCAGAATGTCACGCACCTCACAGAAGGGTTTCGCCTATTCTGCTCCAGCGTGAGCAGACCTAGATCTTTGACATGGCACTCAAGTTTCTGCACTGCATGTCCAAGGATCATGAACAACCTGGAAAACTTCCAGAATATGACAAAGATTATAGAGGTGGCGTGCAGGCTATGGAGCCAGAGAGACGTTCAAATCCAGGCTCTGCCACTTGTTAATTGCATGACCTCTGCACAAGTTACTTACACGCTATGAACCTCAGTTTACCCACTACAAAATGAAATTAAGATAGTGGGTATTATGAAGGTGTAGCTTGGTGGCAGAGTGCTTGCCTGGCATGTGTAAGGTCCTGGGTTCAATTCCCCTAGCACCACGTGCACACGCACACAAATTGGGTCTTAGGAAGACTGAGTGCAATAATGCATGCAAAGTGTTTCTCATGGTTTCTGGCACATGGTGATCATTCATTAAATGTTAATTGTATAAGTTAATTTTTATATCATAAAATCTTAAAGGAAATTATGATCTGAAGAGATGCCTTTGTGCTTATAGCTCGGGCCTCTATCACTATCTGACCGGAAGTGGAGCTCCAGGGAGTCCCAGCGCCACACACAGACAGGCACCTCCATTAAAGAGGAGCTCTGCTCTACATTTGCATAACTAAAAGTCCCCTCAGGCGGTTTTCCTAGAATGACAATGGATTAAACAATTGCTTTAAAATGACAGTTTTCATTTCCTCTTCATTTCTAACAAAGCTGCAAAGATTTTAAGAATGGAATTTCAAGTTTCAGAACTGAGACTCCAGGGACTGTGTGTGTGTCCCCAGCCCCATCCAAAGGAAAGCCTGCCCCTGGTGTCTCACTGTCCACCCAGGTCATCTCATCTCTGCCAAAATCTAAAGCCAGGACAAGATGGAGGCCCATAGAACAAGTAGTTGAAAGTTATAAAGAGGGGGCCGGGGTTGTGGCTCCGTGGTAGTGCACTTTCCTAGCATACGTGAGGCACTGGGTTCGAGGGGCAGGAATGTGGAGGTGCAGATGTCGCGGGAGAAGAGAGGTCTCTGGAGAAGGGTCCAAGACCAGCAGAGTTCTTGGCGTATGTGACAAAAATTTTTCAGCCCATGCCAGACAAAGGCATAGACAAAGTATCGTTTAGAAAGTAGACACACATTCAAGGGAGAATGGGGGCCATCTCAAGTGTAAGATGCCCCTCCTTGGGTGGGAGATCTAATATTTAAAGGGGAGCAGTAGTTAGGGCTGGAGCCAGGATGGCTGGCACACACGTGGTGCCAATTTTCCCTGCGCTTGGGTATTCCTTTATTTTGCAAGTGGGGAGGTGGGGCAAGGGCATGTCGCTCAAGACTTACAACTGAGCTTTCTGCATCTCAGTGGCTCATGGTTGTTTCCTTCTGTGGAGACTCCCTCTCTCTCTTCACCCCAAATCCCGATCTTACAGGGAGGCGTATCTGCCACCCTTCCAATCCACGCCAGGGTCCTATCCCTCAACAGGGCCTGAAGGGCATACACGTGGACACCCCAACCGGAACATCCAACTTCCACCCTACCCTCCACCCTTGGCTACCTGTCAGGCCCAGGGATACTCTCAGAGGTAACTCTCTGTTCCTGGGGTGCTAGGCCTGGAAGTGGGCTGGGAGCATTTGGGAAAGGAATTCCAGGAACCTAGGGGTATATCTGTGGCAGGCGCTCCTCATGGGCACATTTTCTGTGCTTCCTTTAGGGAGGGGAAAGACCCAAAGAGGGTCAGAGCAGGGCCTTCAGAAGCACAGGCCCTAATTAGGAGGCATTGGCTCTTGTTCTGGTCTTAGGGTGTTCAGAAAGTATTTACTGAGCACTTACTTTGTGCCAGACACTGTGCTGGGTATTAAAGTTGTTGCAGTCTAGAAGACTAAGGAGGGCAGGTGAACAAATAGTGAGCCAAGAATAGCAAATATGTACGTGTTTTGAGAAAACCCAGAGGGGAGCCCCACTCTGATAAGAGACAGAAGCTCAGAAGAAGCCAGGGAAATGGGGCTTGGAGGGGAATGGACTTGTTCCATGTAGATGGAACCGAGAAAAGGCCAGCAGAAGAGGCCACAGCAACTGGCTTTGAGGCCACATTCAAGAGTTCTGATTTTATACAAGAGTAAGATCAATTTACTGGATAGAGACCAGAATTTTCTTTTTAATAAAACAAGGATAGAAGACAAGAGAAAATAGAATCCCTGACATAATAAGGATAAATATTACTTTATTTTTAAAATTCTGATTTAACTATGAATTTATACATATGACTATAGTTCCTTTCCTAGGCTGAAATATCTCACCTCTTTCTTACTATGGGTCATGGTCAAAAAAATTTTGCAGGCTCCTTTATAGGTTAAAATGATAAAGTTTGATTATTTGAATCCCAAACTTAAGTGATTCTCCCAGCATCAGTCAAAAAACAGTCCTTTCTTACACTTCTTTAGTATGGATTAAATTCCAGTTCAGACGGCCAATAAATATTTTTAGGCACCCCCTGTATACAATCTATGAGTTAGATGTGAGGGAAATCAGAGGATGGTACATAAAAACACTGTCCTTTGCTTCTCTCCCGGAGCTTTTAGGAATGCTGAGGTGTGCCTGTGGGTCATCTGTCAATTTTGCCTTTTTATGGTTCTCGTCCTGGCCACAGTTATTGTCATTGTAGTTGTCATTTATGGAGCAGCACAGTGTGCTTTACCTAAGGCATCTCATTTAATGTGCTTGGGCTGCGATAAACGTTCTCACTCCCACTTTACAGATGAGGCTGTGAGATGTGAGCAAGCTTCCCTGAAGGGACTGTCCTAGTCTGCTTATCTGCCATAACAAAATGCTGGGGGACAGCATGACTTGAACAATAGAATTGTATCTTTGAAGTTCTAGAGGCTGAAAAGCCCAAGATCATGGCCCCCGCAGGTTCGGTTGTCTAGTGAGGGCTCTCTCCCTTCTTGCTGTTCCTCACATGGCCTTTGTGCTCAGAGGGAGGGGGCATTAGGGAACATGAATTCTAGGATGACACAATTCAGTCCATAGCAGTGACATGTCCAGGAAGTGGTGGAGCAAGGTGTAGACTCCTCCTTCTCCTCCAGGACCTGAAATCTTACTTAACACCTCCTTCCCACCTCCCCCGCCCCTGCAGTGCCAGGTATTAAACCCAGGCATCACACATGCTAGGCAAGCGCGCTACCATTGAGCTCATACCCTGCCCCTTAGCGCCATTTCTGAGGGGGCAAATCCCATCAT